ACTTTAGATATACATTTTTTAGACAGAAGTAGTGATGATATACTTGAAGATCCCTTAAATCAAGTGTTGCACGAGAGAAGAGTTTGCAAGACCACTCTCTTTAATAGTCACATTCTCTTGATCAATCACCTTGGTTGGGAAGGTGTTCATCAGCTGGAACTCAGTCTCCGAGTACTCGGGATGTGCAGTGATTATGTACTGACGGAGATCGGAAACCAGACGAGAAGTGTTGATCTGGACAATGATTCTGCAAGTAATGTTTGAATAGGTGAGTTAGCTAATAACTTTACAGAGCTTCATCACATCAAATCAACTTACCTTGATCCGTCAGCAAGTCGAATCTGGATTCTAGTTCCCGGCTGAGACTGATCAAAACTGAGAAAGGACAAGCCTGCAGAGAGCGCTTTGGCTCGATCTACCACGGGGTCACCTGATGAACTGGCTGAAGATGTGGCTGTGGCGGTGGTCTTTGGCTGTTTGCTCTTTGCAGCTTCTGCTGTTACTTTCAGACGATTGCCTTCACCGGCAAAAGTGGCCGGTTGCTTATACTCTTCAAATTGGTGATTTTCAATGCGCATATTTTTCAAGTTTCGACGAAAATTGGCATAAATTCGCATTGTTGTTAGTTCAGTGTAAGATAGCAGTGGCCCATCGTCAAAGGTAACGCCATTCGACCAGATACGTACAACTGAAGGAGGTCCTGCAGCTACTTTGGAAGTGGATGGACCGTCTACGCGTTGTGGATTGGTGCCAAGATCCTCATTGCTGCCAAGATTCCCAAGAGTAAATCCAACGCCGAGTAATGAAGAAAATTGCTCAAAGTAAGATGGAGTGTTTTCACCTGAAACACGAAACACCGGCATTCCTCGGACAGGCTTAGAGTCAGTGTCAGCTGCTCCTAGAGTAAATCCGGTTCCAGGAAATGTACGTTCAATGACTGGCGGAGAGCTCTCAACATCATCAGCGTCACCTTCAGCACTATTTTCAAGCACATTTTCTGATTCATCTTCAGCATTTTGAGTTTTGTCAGCAGTTCCCAAAGTATAGCCACGACCAAAAAAGGGAGAATCGTCGTCATCATCGTCGTCGTAGTCGTTTCCCTCTGGAGCATCGTTTTCGTCATAGAGGCCTCTGACTAGTTGGGAATCATTTTCCGTTGTTCCAAGAGTGAATCCAGAGCGGACAAAAGCAGGGTACTGACTATTAGCTTCAGATTCACTTTTAGCAGCTTGAGTGATGTTTGGTCCTTCGACACGTTGTGAACCCGTCTCCTCATTTCCCAGTGTAAATCCATTTCCGGTAAAGGGAGCAACATGAGAGCTGGAAGCGTTCTCTTCACCATCGTCTTCCTCCTGCTGGTTTTCACGCATTTGTTTGAGCAGTCTCTTGAACAATTTCTTTATCTTTCGGCGTTTGGAAGCATTTTCTTCATCATTTCTAGGTCCCAGAACCTGCTGACCAGAGTGCTCAGATCCACCAGTGTAAAACGCCTGACGATTCTGATGATCATGATGACGTTTTTGAGGCTGCGAGAAGAGAGTGGCAATATTTGGACCATCACTGTACGTTGCAGAACTTTGAGGGCGGCGGCTTCCACTCCTGTCATCCTTCTTTGGCAGTGAAGCAGGCGGAGAGCCAGGCGGTGTTTTGGGATTGTCGTCAGCCATTTTGAATGATAAACCCAATCTCCAAAGACAGCCTTCAAATGAAAGATTCGGTGTTCGTCTCAAAACGTTCTATAAACAAAAAGCAACATTTTATAAAAGCTTTTTTTTAAATGTAAATACATACGGCACGAAAACTGTTGTTGAAATACGACAATCTGAAAATCCACTTTAACTTTTCAGTAAAGTCTCTTCAAACACTGTTTGACAGTCAGACGCTGACAGCAAGCCAGAGCAGCCAAAAGCAAAACATTGAGTGACTAAACGAAAAAAAATCACACGTTTTGCTTACGAAAGCGACACCTCGCGGGATTGTTCGCCCAAATCACCGAATTATCGCTGTTGAAGTTCCATATTCGCGTCAAACAAAACTCGCTTTTACGCCTTTTTTACTGCCAACAAAAATGATTGTCTGTAAAACACCCCTTTCTCCGCCAAGCACCGACTTTCTCACTTGTCGAGGCTACATTGGCTTTACGCCTATCGAAATCGGCTCTCGCGGGAGTGTCTACCAGACAAGCAAAGATGGTCACCTGTTGGCTGTGAAGGTGTTCCACATCAGTGCAGTCACTGAGGTGGCCCTAGCGGCCCTTGTGCGTGAGCTGAGCATCCTCCAGTCTGTACGCCATCCCAACTGCCAGCGAGTAGTGGAGTCCATGCGAACTACCAAGTGCTCTAAGGTGTACATCGTCATGGAGCCCTTCCTTTCTCCGGGTGCAACCATGCACTCGGTGGTGACCAACTTTGGCCCACTTTGCGAGTGGAACGTCAAGACGTGGTTTCCGCCCATTGCACTTGCCATTCGCTATCTTCATCACAGCAAAATCGCCCACCTGAACCTCTCTCTCAACAGTATTCTTCTGGATGAGCACTACAATCCTTATGTAACCGATTACGCGCGTATCGGGGAACTTGCCAGCGGTGGTCCTGTTGCCCTTCCTAAAGCTTACAGTTCTCCGCAGATGCTGCAAAAGAGTCCCTTTAATCGCTTCAAGCAGGATGTCTGGAGTTTAGGCGCGGTCTTCTTCACAATGCTCAACAAAGAGGAGCCTTTCAGTGAGAGTGACACTGACGAGAATGTCTACGCAAAGATGCTTGCCAAGTCTTTTCAGCTGACGCCTCACGTTGAAGCAAAAGTGAGTTCGACTGCAAAAGAACTAATTCAAGAGACGCTGGAACCGGATGAAGAAAAGCGCGCTTCTTCTGAGACTCTTTGCAAACACTTGTGGATGCCGGCTGTTTTTGGCGAAGCCCAAATGGTCATAACACAAATGGAGAACGAGTATCGAGAGGAGGCGTTCAAGAAGATTGCCCAACCCGCCTCTGATCAGCCGCCACAAAAGCAGTAGTTCAGTATACCTGTGCACACAAGACTATTTATTCTCCACCAGTTTCACCTTTTTCTCATCCAGTAGAATCCACGTTCGAGCGACAATAAAGAGCGTACAGCTGCAGGTGATGAAGGCGCCCGAGATGAGCATCAGCACCACCGGATATGTGTGAAAGACCTGACTGAGGACCAGTGGCGTCAGGAGACAGGTGAAGCCAACTAGAAAGGCGTACAGCGAGCAGGCGTGATTCGTCAGGCCAATGGTCTCCTCGGTGAAGGCGAACACGGCCGGGTAGAGGGCACTGAAGCCCCAGCCTAGCGTCGCCGTGCCCACGTAGATCATCGGCAGACTGTGGCGGAAGGTGTAGAGGAAGGCCAGCGAGGACAGCTGCAGGGCAAAGTGGTAGCCGATGATGACGTCACTGGGCAGCCTCAGGGAGATGAAGGCGGTGGCCAGTCGGCCGAAGGTGTACGTGGTGAGGAGTAGGGCGGTGACGCGGGCAGACTGCTCTGCCTTCAGCTGAATCGCCATGTACTGGTACATCGACGGGGAGAGGGTGATGAAGCCAAACTCGGCGGCGATGTACGTGCTGAAGCAGATGCCCAGCAGTGACAGCTTCGCCTTCCGGTGTCGGGTGCTGCTTCGAGTGCTGCTGCTGCTGCTGCTTACCCTCTTTGTGCTCACTATCTCTTTCCCCTTCTCCTCTTCCCCACCCATGACCACTGGGGCGCAAGTTGCACTTTCTTCTGGCTTTCTTCTGTACGGCGATACGAAGTAGGCGGCAAAGAGAAGACAGGGAACGGCCGCCTGCAGCACTCCTCCAATGGTGAATGGAACGGACAGCAGCTGCACCCTGTCCTCCACCGTAATGGTCACATTGCCCGCCGTGGTGGTCTGTGTGCCGCGGACAAAGGGCGACGCGAGCAGTGGCGCCGTGATGGAGCCCAGGCCGTAGCAGAACATTTGCGCCTGCAGTATGGCCGAGTTGCCCACCGGCCACATCTCCACCAGCCAGACGTTTGCGGACGCCTCCCAGCTGCCGGCGCCGATGTTCATGAGGACCATCATGGCGAAGAGCAGCGGCAGGTGGCCGTAGTAGGGCAGCAACAGCAGGGCCACTGCCTGCAGCGAGACCAGCAGGGCCAGAGCCAGCTGTCGGTTGATGCGACTGTACAGCAGATTGGCCAGCGAGCCGATGCAGTAGCCCACGCAGAAGGCGATGTTCACCTGAGAGAAGGTGTTTATGGAGGTCCCGTAGATGAAGCTCAGGTCGACCATCGTCGCGAAGAAGAGGTTTATGCAGATACCCTGTTAAGAGAAGGTTTACATAGCAAATTACAAACAGAAGTAGAAGGAATCAACAGGGATCACTTACAAAGGCAAAGTTGTTGAAAAAGATGAGTGTCGTGTAGAAGAGGCGCCATTGTCGGCCGCTCTCGTATTTGTTCATCGTTAACTTTTTTTGTGGCACTACAATTCTTTGACTAGCAATTTAATTTTGGTGCAGAAAAAAAGCCCATTTAAAAACGATTGGCGAATGATTTTAGAAACACAAAGATGATGGCACAAGTAAATTAAAGATGAAAGAGAATACTTTGATCATTAAACTAAAGTTGCACTTGTCAAAAACGGCACGACACCATCAAAGCCAATCGACAGCAGCTAATTTAGGTCATTACCGCCGACTGCTTTCATCCGATTCAGTCATTTGATGATGTGCGATCTCCCTCTCCTTCTCTTTAATTGCAACTTACTCTCTTAACTTTCATCAGAAAATCGTCATTCGAACGACAGTCAAAGATGAGCCTCCGCAGCACTAGCACCAGCACTAGCACAATTGCCAGCATCGCCTCCGCTGATCATGTTACCAAATAATAGTGTGCCCTTTTGCTTCGTTTTCACTTTGGTAAACAACCACAACTACGCTCAGCAACATCAACTGTAGCTTTAGCTTTATCAGCAGTAAGCGGCAGCAGCAACCGTCCTGTCAATCACCCGAAAGGAGAAGAGGGTTCACCGTGCACAGCCCACCAGCAACTTCGTCACATGCCGCCGTGCAAGTGAAGCAGGCACGTACTGCCGAGTTGTCGATCATGTGTTCACAATCATCATTGTTCGCACTACCGCGGGCCCCTTTAGATCTCTTTCAGATGCTCACCAGTTGATTACAAGTCCTCTCTCTCTCTCTCTCCCTCTCACCACGAGATGATCATCAGCTGAAGAAATAGTAGAAAGAAGAAGAAGAAGACATTGGCCTACAAAGTGCAAAGACACGTCAGGCAGTGTACAAGGCGACAGTGGGTTTTCACGCACTTGACATCATTGGGCTTGAATCACTATTATTATTATTGCTGTTGTTGTTGGCATCTTGCCGTATATTCTAAGCTTTCCCAGATTTTTAATGACAACTAGAGAGATACGTTGCTGTAAATGTGTCACAAATGTGTGTGTGTGTGTGTGTGAATGACAGCACTAATCTGTGCTGCGAACAGTAGTGTGGGCACCGGAGGTGTTGTGGCGGCGATTTCCCTTAGATCTCCTCGTCTTGGCCGCAGAGTGGCTCTGATCTCCCAAAGAATGCGATTGCGTTTTCTTGACCATAGTCCACTTTGGTACAGACGACCGGTCTGTCTTGATGGGATGGCCACTGTGCTTGTGCTTTGGCGTCTTTGAAACCTTAGCTTTAGCAAACTTGTCTGCATCGAGATCGCTGTGTGAAGGCTCGTCCACGCTCACGTTGAGTACCAGGTTTGAGATTATCTTCCCGAAGCGAGAGTCCAATCGAGAGGGTGGTGGAGGTGGAGGTGGTGGCACTGCCTTCAGACTCTGTACAGTCGACGCGTGATCTCTTCTCTTTCTTCTTTTGCTGCTGCTGCGCCCACTGGTACGACACTTTGTGGACTTTCTTTTCTTACTTCTCCTCGTGTTTTTCTTACTCAAAGCTGAACTTTTTGTATTTTGGTCACCACCAAAGAGCATGTACACTAGTGCGGCAATTATGCCGATAACTAGCAAACTGCCTAAGACGACAGCCAGAATCATTAGAGGCAAGTTGCTCAAAGCTACAAATAAAGAGCAAAGGCAAAAGTAAACTTGAAATTTTTTAAAAGTTGTCTTTTTTTACCTGCTGTTGTAGGGATGTCCTCTCTTACATATTCGGTCACCATTGTAACTCAATGAAAATAAAGTGTTCTTTTTTTAAAATCTTTTTTGCTTTTTACGTCAATTTAGCTAAATTCGATTTTTTGTAAAAGTTTGAACAATTAACAATTTCTAACTGATTTCATTTACAGTTTTCAAAAAAAAGTTTAATAAAAACCACCTGCGTTACACCTACTTGCACCAAAAAAGAGAGAACTTGCAGTTACAATAGTTTTCCTAGGACACGAGGGAAAGAGTGTTTTGATAATTATCGACTTGATATTGAATCGACTGGCCTACATTAAGATGATCGATTGGACTGGAGCGAGAGTGAACAGCAGAGAACAATGATGGCGATAAATCGAGTCACTGTCGTCACGGGTCAGTGGATATTTGTCGCACAAAAAGAGTGAAACAGTAAGTTTTCTCTATTTCTCAATTAATTAATTATCTCTTTTCCAGTTCTCGTGCAGCAAGCAACAATTTTTCAGCTAGAAGACATTGTAATCTGATGTCATCACATTTGATATTGCTGTGAAGAAGAAGGCCAAAAAGGGGTTTTTCTACAGCCATGAAGCATCATCACTTCAAATTGATGTGCCTCGTATTTTTTGCCCAAGTGCAGCTGCATTTACCTTTCACGAGCGCTTTCTCGTCCTCATCAAATGCTGGTGATCATTTGGATCTATTCTGGCAATCAATTGACCGATTAAGAGATGATCTAAATGGACGCTACACTACTGCCGCAGTGAAAGTGGCAAAGATGATTCAAAACAATGGCACCTATCCCTCACCCTGTTTTCGGTTGATTGAACTTGCACTTCAAAGTGGTTTAAGTGAAGAGTGGAGTGCCAAGTGTTGGTGTTTTTATTCTAGTTTGACTCTTTTGAATTTTACTGAAATGTGTCTTATCTATTTACAGTACTCACCGCCAACAGCTTCATTGCTTCGGACCTGTTGGTCAATCTACTCACTGAGCAGTACAACACTTTGGGTGATTTTGATAGCTGTCTTTCAGTGAAGATCATTGACGATTCTTTCAGTGAGAAAAAGAGCATCACATCTACTATTGGAAAGTACTGTCTTCTTAAGCTAAAGAGCCCACAGATTGGTTACTGCAGCAGCGCTGAAGAGACAAGTCGGCTGGGCAATGTGACAAAAGATTACGTCCATATGGCAGCAAGAAGATGGCTGACAATTAGAAATCGATTCCCAATTCTTGCTGGACTTTGTGTGCCAGCTGTTTGTGAAGAAGATGAGGTGAAAAGCCTGTTGAACCAATGTACGACTGTTTGAAAACAAATGCAAAATGTCGACAATTAAGTGATGAAACTTTTTACAGATTTTCAGCCTTACCTCGAAGGAGTCCAAATGGACGTCAAGTACTGTCAGACGGCTGATTCTCCCACACTTGAGCCTCGATTTGGCTACCTTTTGGCAAAGTAAGTTGGATTATGATCACTTAAATGTTTAAACAATTTTTTGTATTTACAGGTACTCGCTTCTGACAATAGTGATTTTCTCACTCTACTGTACCTTCCTTCATGGCCACTTTTTCAACCACAGTCTACGATTTGTTGGCAGTCGTCGTCTACAACAGCTTTGCACATCATTTAACCTTCAAAGCAATCTGCAAACACTGCTTAGATGCTCTGATGGAGATCCACCCGAATGTTCAAAATCTGCATCTTTCTCCCCACTTGACGTTCGTTTCATTCACGGCATCAAGAGCCACCTGGTCCTGGCGATGCTCTCCATTCACATGTTTTTCAACTTTTCCGTTTTCTTCACCATGAACGTTAGTTACTTTGCTCGTTTTCCCACCTTCTATGATGGCGTCCTCGATGGCCGATCTCTGTTTGACCTGTCTGTGCAGA